CCTGACTCTGATAGTGCAACGCATCCTGGTACGCCTTCTTCACGGCCTTCCGCTCCGCCGGCTTCCTGGACTCGATCAGCTTCTGCTGATCCACCTGCTTGTCGATGCCGAGTATGTCCAGCTTGTTCGCCGGCAGCCACTGCCACGTGCGCTTCACATCGAAGAAGAGCACCAGGAAGACAATGTCGTCGAGGCAATTCTTGCGCAGCGCCAGCACATCGGTGGGCGGTGCCGGCAGCGGCACGCCGTTGTACACGAACCCCTTGGGCGTCTTCGGGTCGAGTATGAGCGCGGGATACCACGGATAGCCGCGGCACTTGGCCCACACCAGCTGCAGCGGCTCCAGCGTTGGTTTGTGCGAATTGTGATGCCGCGTCATCGTTACCACCTCCTCCACATCCATGTCCCCGTGTCGACTCTTGTTGTTGTTCATGGCTGTCGTCGCGGTTGCCGTTGCCATTCCTGTTGCCGTGGTGTTTCTCCTCGCCTTGATGTTGTTCACCAGCGGCGAGACGATGCTGGGCGTGGCCGAGCGCAGCTTGCCCGCCTTGCGCATGATGGGCGGCGGTGTGGCCGTGGAGCTGGTCGTGGACTCGCTGAGATTGCTGCGCCGCTTGCCACGTCCGCGTGCGGCGGACATGACGGGCCCCCGTGCTGCCAACGGTATGGGCGTGGGTGTCGGCGTGCTGCGGTTTGTTCTCGTCTTGCTCGGCCTGCCGCGTCGCTTCGGATGCTGCTGCCCATCGTTCAGCAGGGGCTCGTCCTCGCTGGAGCTGCCGCTGGCGCCGCTGCTGCTGCTTATGGCCATGTTCCCGTTGCCCTGCTGGCTGTTGTTCATCCCGAGGCTGGCGTGCTGCAGATCCATGGCATCCGTGGTGCCGTCCTGCGTGGACGTGGACTCCCGCTCCTCGCTGTGCCCGTCGCTGGCCTCGTCGCTGTCAAAGTCCGAGCAGCTGCCGGACATGCTGAAGTCCGAGCAGCTGCTGCAGGGGCTGCTCGACTGCGAGGGTCCCTCGTCGCTGTCGCTCACATCCCGCTGGTTGTTGGCGCGATAAACTCGAAAACTGTCCGGAATGCGCTCGAAGAGGCGACCATCGGGCAGTGGTTGGGCTGCAGCTGGATTTGGGGACTTCTTTGGTGACATTGAGGCACTGTTTCGCAGCTCGGGCAGGCGACGATAGCGTCCCGGCCGCTTGGGCGACTTGACGCCCAAATTGAGGCTCATCTTGCTGCTGATGGACAGCGCCGTGGATGTCAGACTGGCTGCGGCAGCGGCTCCCGCGAGTGCACCCACACCGGGTGTCGTAGCGGTGCTCAAGCCCGCGGCGTTTCCCCCGCTGTTGCAGCTGCTGTTTTGTGTCAGCGTAAAGCTCGAGACGGCAGCAGAGTTAAGGCTGGCATTGGCTGTGGGCGTGGGCGGCACACTGTTGAGTGAGGCCACGCTGGTGGCAGCTGTCGCCGCTGTAGCATTGGAGGAGCAGCTGGCACTGGCACTGGCGCTGGCGCTGTGGCCCATGGACTGACTGCTGGAGGACTGGGAATTGTGTTGCTCCTCCTTCACGGGCGTGGACAGTGGCTCCGAGGGCCGCTTGAGCGCCGCCTGTGACTTGCGCGTGAGCAAAATGGCCGTTCTGCGGGTGGGAAATGTCAGGGATAAGGCTGGGCTCGTGGCTATGGTTTGATTCTGACTCTCTCACCTTCGATTGATGCCCACCGGCGAGCTGCTGTTGTTGAGACTCTTGATGGGGCTGCAGGGCGGCGTTTGTGTTGTGCTGAGCATTTCCTTGGCTGTCTCCTCCTCATCAGCGTCGCCCAATGACTCCTCCTCAGAGTCTTCATCCTCGTCCAGCTCGTCATCCGGCTCCAGGTCCATGTCCATGGCGCTGCTGTTGAGACGTTTGCGTGGTCGCTTCTTGGAGGGTGAGCCTCTGGCCTCATCGTCGTCGCTGCGGCTACGATTGGCATGGCGCTAACGGGGGAGGGAAGAGACATTAAAGGGAGAACTTTAGAGGTTTGGGACGTGCACATACCGCTGCATAGCGCGCCTTTTGCAGCGTCTTGCGCATGCGCGTAATCTCCAGGCGAATTTGCTTGATCTTCTTCGTGCGATAACTGGGATTCTTGAGCACCTGCGACTTGTCGGCGAGTATGAGCAGCTTCTGGACGACATCCTCGCTGGCTGGCAGCGTCAGCAGTTGTCGCAGCTCGTGCTCCACCTCCGCCTCGACATGATCGACATGCGAGCGCTGTGTGCGCTCCAGCAGCCCGTCCCGCTGCAGTTCCTTGCGCAGCTGCACGAAGAGCGGCGCCGCCTGATCGCGCAGTCGTATGCCCGCGCGATAGAACACCGTGTCCTTGTTGTTGTACGCCAAACAGTTCTGGATCATCAGATCAAAGTCACTCTCCAGCTGCTCCAGCGTCGTGTACTGGCAGTCCTTGAGCCGCGTGCGCATTGTGCCCAGATCCATGGGATGCTTCACAATGTCCGTGTAGTCGGGCACCTCGCTGATGTCCACCGGCTCGCGGAATATCTCCATGGTGTCCCGCGCCTCCAGCGCATCCAGCAGCTTGGTCAGCGCAGACTCCAGCGGATTCAGCTGCAGCATGACAACCTCCTCGGAGATCTTTACAAAGGCCACCTTCAGCTTCTCCCGCTTGCGCACCAGCTCGCAGAGCAGACGCGCACGCTCCAGATCCTGCCGCAGGCACTGCCAGTACTTGAGCTGCCGGTACAGCTCATTCGTGTCCGGGGAGCCCTCGATGCCGTTGCGCTGAATGACGCCGTGATTGTGTCCCTGGCTCTGCAGGCGCCGCAACAGCGGCACACCGTTGCGATAGTGCCGCTTCAGCGTCCAGTAGGCAATGATGCGATCGAGGAACTCCTTTTTCTTCTGCATCGTCACCATGGTGGCGATCTCCTGGACACGGTCCGGCGGTATGGTCGGTATCAGCACCACGGGCGCCGTGGAACGCTTCTTGGCCAGCGCCTTGCGTGCCTCGCGCATCTTGTGCCGCGTGTCCTCAAAGTCCGGCACGTTCATTTTCAGCTTGGCATCCGCTGGCGTGTGGGCGTGGCAGTAGGCAAACTTTTGCACATGCATCGAGGAGTCGTTGTGGCCATCCTTGATGGTGTCCATCGTCATGTAGAGGCCCGCCTGCTGCGCACACGTCACGTGGAAGGCGGCATAGCAGCTGTTCCTGTGGCACTGGATGCAGGCGCCAAGACCCTTCTCCTTGCACACATAACACGTGAGACGCCAGCGAGCGGGTGGAATGGTTTCAATAGAATCTACAGGGAGCAGAGAGCTTAAGTTAGTTCAAGGCAGAGGCAGGATCGGTGGCAACTACAAACCAATTGGCTCCAGGAAAACGGTATTGGCAAACCGCACCTCGGGTATCCACAGAGCGCACACCACATGCGCCCACTGGCCGTGATCCGTTTGCTTGAAGGCGCCACCCGCATTGGGGCAGAGAACACAGTTGACCGGCTTGCTGGGGGATTGCAGGCAACGGCGGCAGAGCCACTGGCCCTCGGGTATGTAGGGCACACCGTAGCAGTCCTGGTGCACCGCCAGGTTGCACATGTCGCAGAAGAGTATCACGTTGGTGTTCTGGCACTCGCCATCGAGGCAGATGCAGCACACCGCATCATCGTCCACCTCCACGCCCGTGGGCGTGCCATTGGCCGCCGCCTGGAAGTGCGACTCCTTCTCGAGGCGATCCATCAGCAGCTCCATCGTGTCGATGCTGACGGCTGTGAGGCCGAGCTTGTGTCGCTCCTCGTTCATGTGCTCCAGCCAGGCCGAGTCCTCCTCATCCACATCGTACTCAATCTCACCGTCCAGCTCCTCCAGCGACTTCTCGATGAAGCGATAGTAGGCCAGCGGTCGGGGCGGGGCGTCAGGCACATTGTAGTCTTCGATTTCGCACACCTTTGCCACCGGCACCTGCACCTTGGCCCACGGTGCATTCTCCTCCAGCGGCGCTGCATCCGCATTCAGGATGCATCCCCGCTCCACCAGCGCAACGAATTCCTCCTCCTCCACCAGCGGCAGGGCATCATCGATGCCCAAGCGCACGCTCTTGCCCTCGATATTGAAGGTGACGGTGGCCTCCTCCTCATTGTAGGCGACCAGTGACTCGGGATTGGCGTACTGATGCCGCGTGACGCTCCCACTGCCAGCGCCAATGCCGCTGCAGGCTCCGTTCTTCGTCTCTCCACCCACGCTGCCCGTCGCATCCCCGCCGCTGCCGTTATCCTTTGGCTTTGGCGTCGAGTGGTGCGTGGAGCGGGAGCGCGCCTTTTTCCGATGCGGCGTCAGCACTGGCGTCAGCGGCTGCGGATTATCGTGGTCGTACTTGACCAAATGGTATTGCAGTCCCATGATCGTCTTGTAGCTGCGGTCACAGTCCCGCACTGGACACGCATACGGTGGCTGGGATTGCTTGTTCTTTACACCTTTGCAGTACTCCAGGGCATCGAAATCGAGTCCCATGGCTGCGCTGCTGCTGCCTGCTGCCTGCCTGCTGCGGGTGCTGCCTGCCTGCCTGCGAGTGTAGCTCTGCGTGTGTGTTGGGACTTCTGGTTACGAATTGGGGACAAGTGTGTCTACTCCCGCATACGGTTTCCTATATATACATCTTATTGTTGTGGTCGCAATGCGCGCGGTTTTTTTGTTGTCCCCCTTTCCTAAGTCGGATTTTCGTAGCTTGTTGCAAAAAACGCGATATTAACAAATGCGCAGTGTGACCGTGGAACTATCGCTAAAATATACCGTTGCGCCGTCAAAAATAAACTAAAATATACCAAAATATACGGTATCATTTTAAAGGTATACCGTAAGTTACGGTATAATCGAGGGCTACAAGCACATCAATGGCCACAATGTGTTCGCCGACATTCTTAGCGGGTGCAGCGGGCCACAGCAGCAGGGTGACCGTTTACGGTATATTTTTTCACGTCGAAATTGAGTCGACGGTATATAGGTATACTTCGACAATTGTTCGGTATATTACGGTATATTTGAGACACATTTTCGAGAAAATTTCAAACAGATTTCAAACAAAATTACAGACTACAAATTTTAAATCAGAAGCTGGGCTGGCGCCTCCTGCTCTAGGAGCTGGGCGAGCAGCTGCCACAACAGCTGTGTGTGACCGCCAGCCGACTGGGGCAAGTGCCTGGAGTGCCGGCAACATCTGCAGCAGTTCCGACAGCTGAGCGAAGGCTTCCTGGAGAAGGTGCTCATTCGGAAGGATCATTGTGCGTTCACAAGACAAAAGCTGGCGTCTGGCAAGTGCCCTACTGCGAGGCGTACACCCCGAATCCCACAAACAGCTTTGTGTGTCGAAACCTAAAGACTTGATCGATGCTCATATCATTGGACTAAATATATGTAGAACCTGAGACTAGAACCTGTAGACTACTGGCTACTCGCATTGGGGGACTTGGCACTTATCTTTGACGCTCTTCTTGTATGTCTGCTTGTTGCGACGACGCTCGTAGGTGATCTTCTTCTCGGCAGCGCACATGAGGCGACGCTTGATGTGATTGTCCATCTCCAGGTCCAAGTCAACGGACTTGGCCAGCTCGTTGGGATCGCGAGCGGCCGCCGAGTCCAAGGCCTTGATCACGAGACTGAGCAGAGCGTGAGCGAGGCGATGGCACACATCATACTCGATGGCATCCTCGCTGGTGTAGTAGATGGCCGATTGGGAGGCAGGCTGGACACCGATGGCCAGCAGCACGTTGCAGAAGATGCCGCGCTGCATGCGGGCATAGGGATCGACCAGCTGCGGCGGTATGCGCATTGTGGTGGCCAAATGGGTGATGAACTTGGCAAACTTCTTGATGAGCACGTTCAGGTACTGTGTGCGACACTGGCGCTCCAGTTTGGTCAGCATGCTGTAGTACAGCTCCTGCTTGCGCTTCAAGAAGTCCTCCTTGCGCCGCTCCTTTGACTCATTGCTCTTGAGTACCTCAGCAAGCTGTCTGCAGCGAAAGAACATATCGTTAGAGCCCAGCACTTGCTCCTTTAAGCACTTACTCTGTGGTTATGGCATTGTACTTGCCCAGCAGCCGCTTGATGCGCGTTGCTCGCTGCTTTGGGTTGTAGTAGTCCTTGAACTGTGCGTACGTGTCGATCAGCTGATTCTTCTTGGGCTGCGATCTGGCCACATCGCCGGGTCGTGTCTTGGGCGGCATGGATGGCTGGTAGGCCATGCGGCGCACATACGAACGCAACTTGTCCACGTTCTCCTGCTGCCTGAGCTGGCGGTTGGTTGGACTGCAGTAGTCCGGATCCTCCTCCTCGACCTCCTCGCTCGACGATGTCGGCAGCGGCTCATCCCAGTCGGACACATTCGAGCTGGCCATTCTTTATACACAAATTCACACAGAAATTTGGCAAAAAAAAAAGTAGAGAAAAAACGAAAAATTTGCTTATTTTTGTTAAATGAAACTCGAAATACTTTGGAGCTCTCCCACTGACAATTTTTATTTGTTGCTTAATCGAACGTTGAATGTTGAATGAACGAGAGACGGCATATCCTTCCCCTCTGTGGGGACAAATCTCTCGGCCTACCACATTCAATCATTTATTTCAGTTGGCCCTTGAAACAACATCATTTAAAGCTATTTGTGTGTGTGTTTGTGTCTAGTCTATATGTAAACTGCTCTTTTAGTTGCTATCTTCTGCTTCCATTGCTATCTTATATCACTACTAATATTTATAAATTTAAAACATTTATTACCTGCATTCAATCAATAATTTCACAATTTGCGCGGGAACTTTTCTGCACCGTTCAGTGTTGTAAGTTGTAAAAAGAGCAGTCGGCTGTGCGCATAACAGCAAATAATATTCTCTTTCTCTCGTAACAATCTTATCAACAAATTGATTGAAAAAACTAATTAAACCATACTTTTGGTGGTGACAGGCTTTATGATTAAGGATTTGCAGTATATTTACGTTGCATTTTGAAAAGCAGATATTACATTTCGGTATATTTCTGAGGGCTGTGCTGTATATTTGATCGCTAATTCTGCGGTCACACCACGCATCGCTATTGCCGCCATTTTAAACGGGGTACGAAAAATAAAGCCAACTTTGCGCATTTTGTGTAGATTTTGTTTTGTGCCAAATGGATGACTTGTTGGATATAATGCGGCCCCTGTCGGAGCTGGAGCTGGAGCTGCAGATGATCAGAGAGGTATTTATCAGAGCATGGAGTGGACACGGAACACGTTGATCAATATGGCGATGACGCTTATGTTTTTTTTTCACTTTTGGTTGCTTGCAGGCTCACTTCAGGGAACTGGATGAACTTTTCTACGGCATCAAGGTCAAAGAAGCCAAGCCAGCAGACAGTGCTCCGGAACAGAGCGAAGGCACATCGGTGACGCCACAGCAGACGAAGAAGCGGCCTAAGCGGCTGACGAAGCTGTCGGAGAACTCGGACGAGGCCGAAGGTGAGTTTTGTGTGGCAGCTGGTGGCAGCAAATCTCACACTGCTCCCTTCCACAGATGTGCACGATGTGACGGCCGACTCGTCTGGCATGCAGAGTACGCGACAGAGCAACTCCCAGCTGCTGGCCGTGGCCGAGGAGGAGAGCAATCTGAACAGCACCGCGGCGCTAATGCCGCCGCCACCGGCGCCCACTCTGGCCGATACCACCATGAGCTCGGGTCGGCCACAGCGTGCGGCCAAGCTGAAGTCGGGCAAACTGCTCAAGGAGCCCTCGCTCAACCGCAAGATGCGTCGTCCCAGCGATGAGGACATGGTTCGCGTGAAGGTGGAGAGCGAGCATCGCGTCTCGCAGTTCAACAGCTCCAGCGCCAGCAGCAGGCCAAATAGTACAGCCTCCGAGCCGCTGCCGGAGGTGCCTGCTGTGGAGGAGCCACTAGCCTCGGATGAGCCACAGGCACAGCCAGAGCCGGCAGCACCAGTTGTGCTCAGTGAGAAATCATCACAGAGCATACACAAGAATTTGGTCGTGAAAGTGAAGCGAGAGAAGCTGACGGGCGAGTTACCCCCGCCAGCGCTGTCTGCCGCTGACACAACGGAATCTACCACCACAGATGAGACCTTGGCCGTGGCCGATGTGTCCAAGAAGTTGCGCAAGAAGAAGAAGGACGGCACCTGCCATCGACCCATCAAGGTGGAGCGCTTTAGTGAGATTGATAAGAACTCGCCGGTGTCCTCGCGGACACGCAAGAACAGCTGCGAGTCGCGCACCCAGGAGCGCTCCATCTACAAGGATGCGCTTGAGGAGCCAACAATCGAGCAGCCGCAGCAGCCGCAGCAGCAGCAGCCGGCACAGATTTCTGGCGCTGTTAATGAGACGATGACCTTGTCGAACGCCACCATGGTGCTGGGTCCAGCGCCCAACGATGTGAGTCCCAGCATAGCGCCTGCCGATGCCACTTTTGAAGTAATTTCCAACAAGCGGCAGCCAGCAATGCCAGAGGCGGAGCCAAAGCGGAACAGTCTGCTGACCGAGGATGAGTCGCTGGACGACAGGGTGGTGCCGGTGGCCAAATTTCTCTCGAATGTAAAGACCATGAAGTTGCCCCCCGGTCGCCCGCACGAGCTGTTCAAGTGAGTATGAAATGGAAGCTTCATAGAATGCCATTTATTACCTTTTGTTCCAACCCCGCAGTCCGTTGCTACAGAGTCCCGTGAAGATGCGCGTGGAAGCGTTCGAGAATGCGGCCATTGCACAGAGCAAAGTGCGTGCACCGCGAGCCAAGAATACGGTAAGTGAAGGAAGCACCTCCTCCCCTGCTTCCACGATTGATAACTCTCGTGTCTCTCCTTTCTTCAGGGCACGCCAGGAACTGGAACATCGAACATTACTCCCAAGATTGGCAAGTTGCAGCCACCGACTGTGGGTCGTTTTTATACGCCCACTCAGACCTCGAGTGCACTGCCCGTAAGCGCGGTGCAGCCCAAGAAGGCGCCCATGAGTGCCTCGAAGGCGACGACGCTGCTGAAGACGGCCACTGGCACCAATCTGAAGTCCACCAATTCGACATCCAGCAAGACGCTGTCGCGCGAGAACAGCGGCGACGATTTCCGCAAGGGTCTGCACACGCTGGCCGAGGAGCGCAAGAAGCTGCGCGAGCAGAAGCATCTGCAGGCCGCACAGCAGCGCGAGGCCAAGGAGAAGGAGCGAGCCAAGCAGGCGGCGGAGCGTGCCAAGGTGCGGGAGGAGCGCAAGAAGCTGGAGGAGCGCAAGCGACTGGAGCTGGAGGAGCTGCATCGCAAGATGCGCCAGCAGGAGGAAGCCGAGGCTCTCAAGAAGGCCAAGCAGCGAGAGCTGGAGCAGCAAAAGCTGGCACAGCTAACCGGCGCCAAGAAGAAGATGCTGCCACCGCCGCCGAAGACAAAATACACCTGGGACATGCTGCACGAGGATGACTCCACCGACGACGAGGGCAAGGTCACACACAAGCGTCCACCAGCACCCACCTGGAGTCGCAGTAAGTTTTGGCATTCCCTTCGGCCAAATGTTCCTTGATTTAAAACCGATTTTTCGTGTGCCTTTTGCAGGTCATGTGCGCGCCGAAATGGTTGCCATGCAGAGCCACTGCCCCACGGATATCATCGATAGCTTCTTCTCGGTGGCACCCACCACGCCGGACCTTAAGCAGATATTCCCCAACATCGATCCCAGCCAGCTGAAGCGCAACTCCAGTGTGCTCTGGTCCACGCCGCCCCGCTACTCGGAGCTCCCCAAATATTAGCCACTCTATTAAATGTTTAACTAAATAATCCTTTGTTTTTTCTTAGTGTATTGTCTATGGGAAATGTACGAATATTTATGTACTATAATTATGAAATATATTTACGAATAAATGCTGTTTAAATAATAAAATAAAGTAAAGCAAGATACCGCTCGTTGCCATTCCACTTCACTTGATTCCCTCTGACACTAATACCCAACTGCTTAAGAACTATTAAAGCCGCCAGCGTGCTCAATTAATGGAGATGCTTGGGGGGGCTTTAATGCTGTTTTGATGCCCCAAAGGTGTTTCCATTAACAATGAGCAGGCGCTCTTCCAGCTGCCGCTGCTGCTGTCGATTCGTGAAAAGTGTGGAAAGGCGCAGGTGAAAAAGAAAACGAGCAACGCAGCACAGCAACAGCAAACACAATTTCACTGGTCATGGGGCATGGTTTTGTGGCATGATGAGCCGAACAGCGGCAAATCTTCGTCTGCTGCCTCTGCATCACACGTTTTGCGCTTTTCCCGGTTCCCCCCAAGCACCAAGCTGTAAGCGAATTGCAACCAAAAAAACTCTAAGGATTTTTCATTTGATTTCGTGCGTTTGCAATTTGCATGGTAATTGCCAATGATTGGAATGGAATCTGTTCCGATTTGCCTGCAAATCGCAATTTAGAGCCGCAAACAAGCAACGCGAAATTCCCTAACTAAGGACGTTCAGCGGAGTCCTAATCTGCGATCGGATTAATGTCTGTATATTCAATAAATAGCCACTTTCAATTGTTGTTATTTCCTTTCTGGTTGGAAATTCACTACGGTTGCACGGCGACGTTTGGTTACCCTCACAGATCTACCTAGCAGTGAGCTAAAATCACGAAGTTGTCTACCCCGAAACTGGTTCATTGCTTTACACTGCGCGAAATGATTTGTGGTTGAAGCTTACATTTTTTCGTATTGAAACTTTTAAACATTTATTTATATAAGAACTTATGAACAGCTTGGAGTTCCTCTTCTCTGTTCCTACCCATCTCCAACGCGTTGTCTAGTCGCGTATACTCTTCATTACTCTGTCTGCCATCCACTCTTCGTTCACCGATCGCAGCGCTTGGGTCTTGGTTTCTTTGCAGTTCCACGACTTGGGGGCTTGAGGCCTCCACCTTAGTCAGTCTCTGGCGATCGAACGGTGCACACCTGTGTTAGCGGTGTGTTTTTGGTAAGACAGCGTCGAAGCTGTAAAACGGCGACGGTGAAGTAGAAGACGCGCGAAAGAAGAAAGAAAGAAGCGAAGAAGCAACACAGCAACAACACAAAGTGAAGAAGCCACTCTGCCGGCGGCTACATACATATTTACTCGTGTGTGAGTGTTAGTGTGTGCGTGCTTAAATCTATGAAAAGTGAATAACTAAAACGAGCTCAAAGCTACAAAAGTGTGTGCGTAAAAGAAAACAACAACAAAATAGAGTGTTTCTTGTATCTCTAGAAGAAGCAGCCGCAAAAGGTAATAATGTAAAACGAATACATGATATTTGCGCGTATCTCTCTCTCTTACTGTGTGTGCGTGTGTTTGTGTAGAAAAGCAAAAATATATGCGGCTGTGTGTGCCTATGTACAGCGGCAACAAAAACATAAAAAAAACTTTCTTTTTTTCGCGCTGCCTTTTGGCTGTAACTTTGTTTTTGTGTCTTGCGGCTTTTGTTTATTGCATTGTTGCTGTTGTTGAGTTCCGCCGCTGTGGAATTTGTTTGCAAATTTTATAATTTTCCCTGTGTATGTTGCACCTATTTGCTGGCCAATTAACGGGCAATTCACTGCAAAAGATATGAAAAAGAATGTGAATAAATTGAAATTTTGTGGAAGCAAAGAAAAAAAGATTAATAATAAATCACAAATATAGCAAAACTGTAGAAAATGGAGAGAGAGACTCCACTCCTAGCCGGATATGCTCCACCGTGGTCAACCTGTCTACCCCCACACACACACACACACACACAGGCACAGGCGCACACTACTTCTCTCCCTGTCTGCCTGTCGTCTTGCCTGTCGCCGCAATGTGATCTGGCCTGTCCACTCTGCTAAATTGCCAAGAGCGCTTGCCCCTTCCATTGCTTGCCCCCTGCTGCTCTACTCTATGATACTCCCCACTCAAGTGTCCCGTTCCAGCATTTAATACTGTTACTTGTGCCATTTTGCGCGCACTTGTGCCAATTTTGTATGCAGAAAACAGCAGCAGCTGCCTCTCCCCTCTCTACATCTTGTCCAGTGCTTGTCGCTTGATTTTTGCTTTTCGATAATTTAAAGCTAACATTCCTTCAAGCCACAAAACCGCATTTCTGGCAAACCTCTTTGCTACCACCAATCCAATCCACTCCAATCCCAATCCGTCTCCATGCTGCCTGGCTGGCTTTCGGAAATCTTCAATTTGTTGTGCCTCTCTGGTTTTTTTTTGCAGTTTTGTGTTTTGGGTGAAATTTGTTCCATTATTAACGTTGCTTATGTGCAAAAACTAATTGAAAATATCGTGCAATAGAAAGAGAAATAAAAAAGGAAAAGGAAAACAATATTCAGAAAACATCAATCACATGATTATTGGCAGCGTTTTGTGGTGAGTCTGCGGGGAGTGGTGGGGGATAAAAGCAAAAATGAAAGAAATTGATGGGCAGGGTCTGTGTATTTTCTGAGATGAATCTGCAGACTTTTGCGCGAATGCAAAGTCACAAGAAGAGTATTATGCAACTCTCTTTCTCTCCACTCTCCACTCTGCACTCTCCACTCTCTTACAACAAAAATATGAGGGTTGCGCAACAGAAAAGAGCACCAAAAAAACCTTTATGAAAATCCCATGAGTCATTTAACCCGAGAAGAAGATGAAAACATAAAAAAAGACTAATTACCGAGAGCAACTTCCGTTGGGGTGTTGAAAAAGTCTCGAAAAGAAAGCAAATCTGGTAAAATTGGGCAGAAGAGAGGAACAGAAGAGAGGAACAGAAGAGAAGTTAAGTCAAAACAAGCGCTAGCGTGGGCGAATCATTCATTGGAAAAGTCGTAGCAGCAAGAGCAGGAAAATGATGAAATGGAGTCATTTAATGACAAACGACGACAGACACAATTCCAAAGCAACAACAACGCCCACGAAGCAACAAATTTTGTTGTTTGTTTACAAGAAAACTTTCTATTTCATTCGCGCTTCTCCATGCGTACCCGCTGCCTTCTTTTCAAGGTTCCAAACGAAAATCCCTTAAACAAGAAAGAGCAGTCGGTACCAGAGGTCGAACATAGAGATACCCTTTACATTGCAGGGATATTGATTGAGTTCTCAGGAATATAGAGACCAGAGAGAAAGATGCAAATTGTATGGCTAATATTTAAACATAGTGACAGACGGGAAAATGTGCATAGGTTCCCACTTTAGTCAGATTCGAGCATACCCTCTCTGAGGGAATTGTAAAAACAAAGTAAAAGACTGCCAAAAATCGGTCTCTGGGCATGACTCAACCCCTTGTTGCACATGTTACCGGCTCAATCCGGTCGTGTCCGGCTCTGAGATCACGTAGCAGAGCAAAACAAAAAGCCAGCAGCCAGCGAACAGCAACCTTTACCTTTCCTTTCCTTTGCTTACCTTTGGCTTTGCGCTGCTCTGGCTTTGACTTTGCCCCCCCACCGCCCCGATTGTGGCCGCTCCTCTAAATGCCGTCTCGATGCTTTCACTTTCCATCTAATGCACGGCACAATTGCTTTTGCGGTCTGGGGCGGCCTGATCTTGTTTTGGCTTCTGATTAGCAGCGACTCGAGACACATTCGGTAATCGTTCGTTAAGCCCCAGCACCAGGATCGATTAGAGATCATCGCATGGTAATGGCTGTTGGGGCATCTACATATGTAGATATGAATGTACATCCGAGTGGTAGAAACATTTGTGGAATTTCACTTTTGCTTTTGCAGACACCTCGAGATTGTGCTCCCAAAAACTTTCGCTGCAAACCAATTTCTGTGCGCACAGCAGTCGCTGGACATCAATCAAAATTAGCATATCAATCAGCTGGAGATTGCAGTTAGTTTTTGTTGAACGAAGCCTCGAGACTTTATGCAATCATCGAAACAGCTAAACTGTTGCTGAAAGTATTTCTTTTTCCAACCATGCTGGAAAAAGTATTTACATAAGCGTGGGGCCAAGGGTCAAAAGCATTTGTAGATCACTCGGGGAACACATGATGGACTCACCTCACTGATGTAATGTCTGCTAATGCTTTTCCTTTGGCACTTTGTACTGGCAGCAACAAAAGACTCAAGCCACAAACTTTAGAATATATTTTGCACTTTTTTGTTTGCATTTTTCATTAACAATTCTTTCTCTCTCTTTTTATTTTGCAGCATAAATCTGCATGAGGAAAGCAGCAAGATGCCAGCACCAACTACAATTCAACAATAAAACAATCTGAAAAAAAAACACAAACAAACCACACAGAGAGATTGAAACCCCGCAAAGTGTGGCACAGAGGAGTAGCAGGAGAAGAAAAGGGAGGAGCTATTGGATTTATGCAAAAATGCGACGAAAGCCACAAAACTTAACAAAAAGTAAACAATCGAGTGGCAGAGCAGGAGACGAAGACGAAGGCGGCGGAACAGTCCATAGAGGTGGCAACTTCTCAGCATTAGCAATCCCCAACGAATACAACAATAGAATGCCAAGAGACCATCGACACATGATGGCCATGTGGCTGGCATTGCTGCTGCTGCTCATCCAAACAACAGGTAAGTGTAAAGAGTGTAGAAGGGGGGGACACAGGGGGACACACAACAAAAGAATTTCACATTCAGTTAAGTTCAGTTAATAAATTGAACCAGGGTTGCCGGCCAACTTTCCCACTGGGAGAGGATGAAAGTTTCCGATAGCAAGAGAATTTGTTTAGAGAATTTTTAAAGACAAAGCCTAGGCTATTACCAATACTCAGAACTATTTGAATTTATCAAAAAAAGGCCCATAATTTCTATGGAACTCTGAGCATTAAAAGAGCATGGAAAAAATAACATAAATTCTCCCAATGCTCCGCAGTACGTGTGCCGTCGATGAAGATGCTCCGACACGGCTCGTACGTGCCTCGTATTTAGCTTCTTTTTGTTTTGTGTGTGTTTTTTTTTAGAAAGCTTGTGCTTGCTGCATAATTTATTAGGCGTTACTAAGAATGCGCATAGGTTCGGTGGCTCGTTTGGACTCGTTGCAAATGGAAAACTGTGCCAAGCGTAATGAAGTGCACAACGAGACTGTACCAGTACTCACAGTCTTTCTATCTATCTGTCTGTGTGTCTTTCTATCTGCACACCCGCACAGTTGTGTTCAATTGTTGTGGGCCAAGAAGTTTGTTAATTTGTTTTGCCACTGAAATACGGGCTTGACACACTCTGCGCTGTCGCATGTCTCTGTTGATTTTTGTGTGTGGGGGAAATGTCCCAAAAATGTCTCAAAAATCCATCACGAAACTGGATTGTCTGCTAGACCCGATACCATCATCGCAGCTCACTGATCCGCAGTGAATCATGGGGCTTACTTTGGTATTGCACAATCGCGATTATTCATGCCGCGATTCATTGGACTTGGGTTGGGTTTTTTCTTTGTTTTCTTTGTCGCATTGCCAAGTGCGTGACGTGCGTAAAGTCCAAGTTAATTAATGTTTATTATGACTTGAGCAGACGCGGCTTGATAATCGCCAAGTGTCCGCTGTATTGGTGATTATATAATTTTAGTTGTGGCAAAATGTAAAGGTTATTAAACTGCTGGCAAAGGGCAGGGAAAAGCCATTCTGCTATAAGGCATGCCTTGGCTTTTGTTACAAATTAAACTGAGAAAAGATTTTTACATGCAGAGAACACCCTTTTGTTGTTCAAATAACTTTGTCTAACAAACAAATACATATGCATTTATTAGTTAATTATTTGTATTTGCATTTAATTAAAATCTCATTCGCTCCCACAGCATTTCCCATGCAAGTAAATTCCCTCCCCAATTAATGCTTTGTGGAACGCATTCCACATGCTCTCCATGCATTCCACATGCTCTCATGCACTGCTTGCTTATGCATACCAATGGAAAGCTGCTGCCAGCAGCCACAGCACTTGCCATTAGGCAGCCACTGTAACCGTTTAATTGCGATGAGGGCGGAAGGGGGTGTGTGTTCGAATCAATTAAAGCTAACTGCACTATTTACTGGCCCATTTGAGGCAGCTCCACACACTTGTGGCTGTAACTGGAACTGCAACTGGCACTGGGAAACCTTTCATGCAGCTAATAAGCCTTTCCATATCCGAATGGAATTTACATAAAGCCGCCAACAAGGCAGCGGCAAAATTGGGTAAAGTGAAAAGATGTGAGAGCAGCAGCAGGCAGCAGGGAGTAAAACTTAATTAAAAAGAATCTTCACCTGAGTTATGGACTTAAAGAAACAGAAGACGAGGCAATGCCATGGTAACAGTTATAGCCCCATGTAACGGCGTTTTTTTAGGGGGCCGGACCGTCGATATTTGTGGAACTATAACGAAGCTTTGCTACGGAACACCCTGGAAAAGTGTCAAAGAAAGCGCCATGAGTTGGCCTTTTATTTTCCCGAGTCATGGAATCAATCAATGAAAACAATCGATGGGAGCGATGGGAGAGAGATTGGCTGCCATTCGATGCGCGGTGCTGTTGACACTCTAACCCATTGACTTAGTGCTCGCTCTCTCTCTAGCTCTCTGCCTCTCTCGATTCGCTGCCAACTGTTAAGCTGATTACATTTTCAGATTAGCTGCTGCCATAAACAATTTTTCCTGCACATTTTTGTCAGTATTTTCTTTTTTTTGGCACATTGCTGTTACATGGCCCACTTGCTGCAAAGAGAGAGAGAGAGGGCTGGTGGGCGCAGAGAAACTATAAATAATCAAAAAGCAAAAGAAAGAGCCAACAAAAATTGTGTCTCAATGCGAAGAAGAAGTAAAGAAGCCGCCGTTGCCGTTTTGCAGGCTGAACAAAAATTTATCGCTTGAGTTTTTATTGGGTCAAGAGGCAGGTTGAGGTTCGTTTGGCAGGTTTTTAACTTGGATTTAGCTGGGATCTTTTGCTGTATTCTTGGTGGGCTTCGGGGCACTCATGGAAGTACCATGGAATGTTGATGCAATTTATTTTATGTATGAACAGGTGTGCCGGCGTAATCCATAGTGAAGAATATGTCGATGGGATGATGCGCTCTTCTTTCTCTTATTGGATGCGTTCCTCGATAAACGCTTCCTCTCTCTCGCTTCCTTTCGCTTTCTGCAGACCACATGCTGCTGCTCTTGCGCTGCCTCTCCGCTCATCTTTCATTTTCAATTAACGTAAACGTTTCGCCACCCCCCGCCAAGCCCTGTCGCGGCGTTCATTCAATCGAAGGCGCAAGCACTGCCTGAGCTTGGGCCCAATCAAAACACGAAACCCAATCCCAGATCCGTGGCAGTATCAATAACTGCATACGTACTTTCCCTTTCCCGTGAGAAGAGAGATGCGATGCGCGGCGTTTCGTATAAAAGATGCCCAAAATTGTACAATGAAATTCGGCACAACGAAAGTTGCACACACCCAAAAGAAAGAGAAGACTAAAGGGGGAGGGGAAGCAGAAGTAGAAGCAGCAGGAGAAGGAGATGCAGAAGCAGAAGGAGAGAGAGAGAGACACAACAATTGGCGCAGGTAGACGGAAAGTAACATCTCGTTTTTGGGCTTCATGTTCGTTCTGCTTTAATGGGTTGTCCTGGCCCGAGGCCATACAAGTTTCGCAGAGAGTGGGAGAGGGAGAGATGATAGATAGAAACCCTTTCATCTGGCGGCGTTGACAATCAATGGCAATCAATGAAGATACTCGCTGTTGCCCCTTTCCCTTCGAACCGGTTCGCGTTTGGAAACGCTTCTTGCAGCCTCACATTCTCACATTCCTACAGCAGCGAGTTTTATATTTGCTTAAACAAAAGACTTGAACAACAAACTGGCAATTTGAGAATTGTAATGGAATTGAGTAATTGAAATTGTAGTAATTAGAAATCATTTAGTAATTGCTTAGGAATATGTTTAAATATGCAACTTTTACTTAAACAAAGTTTATCAACTTCACAAAATATTTATCAGCAAATATTTGCTACAAATATCCCACAAAAAAGCTTACAAAAAAGGCTTGAAAAACAAATACTCACATCAAAAGTTTAGAAAAAACAAAAATAATCACGAATATCGGAGTATAAGCTGGCAGTTAAATTCACCGTTAAATGGGTGCAGTTAGCTGGCACGCACGCACACTCACACCTGCCTGTATCTGGGCTGACGGGCCTGGCATGACACAATAAAGCCCACGCACACACACAGACACACACACACGAACATAGAAACACAAAGCTACAGTTTTACAGCCACTTTACCCATTTCCACCATTTGGCACGCAGTCCAGAAAGTAGCCTAATAAAAAGCTAGCAAGACAGCGAGACAGAAAGACAAACAGATAGAAGAGTTTATGTTGTACATAAACAGCTATAGATTCTTTTTATATACGGAGCAGCAGCCGGTTCTGTTGGTCACTTGTTGTAGATTTATATTTGAGGCAAAACACAGATGCGGATACACACAGAACACACACACACACACACACACACACACACACACACACAGCTACAGAAATAAAGTCTCTGCCGCAGCGACTTGAACTTGTCACAGACCATTAAGACCATATTGGCCGGCAACTTGTTTCCGTTTGGTGGCGGCTACTGTGGGTACATTGACACAGTTTCATTTCGGTAGAAACATAGAGACAGAGAGACAGAGAGAGAGAAATGGAGAAATGTAAAGAGAGAGGGAGAGCACAACTTATCAATCAATAAAACTCTCAAGCACTCAGCCTGTGCTCTAAGCCAGTTTGTTTTCGCCTGAAGGGGCGTCATTTGTGTGCCAGTTCTTGGCCAGGTTCTGTTCTGTGCTGTTCCATTTTTGCTTGCATTTAAAATGTGATTTTTAATTGTTCAATTAGTGTCTCAGCAGCGCCCCTCGCAGCACCAGCCAAAGCTGGGTTAGTGACCCAAGCAGCGGCATGGGAAATACATGGCAACTATGCACGGCATGGACTGGGGTTTGGGCTGTGGCGGAGGCTGTTGCTGTTGCTGTTGCTGTGGCACGACAAACATTTCAACTGTGCGCCGTCGCATTTTTTATCCCAGGGAATCGTGCAGATCGCTTATCGCCTGCTAAATTGCAGCTAGTTATAGGCTTACAATCTTGTTGCTTGTTCTTGGACTCCAACTGGGAATTGAGACTGGAACTGGGCTCTGTTTGGCGTCTGGGTCTAGGGCCATTAATCCCGCGAGTCTCTCCATTGTTCTAGCTGGTAGTGGAATGCGTTCTTGTTGTACCTCTACTTGCCGCACTTAATTAAGCAGCTCTTTGGGGGAATTAGATTTCATAAGTGGCAGCAATTAACTCGAGGATAGCAGCAGCAAACAGCAGCAGACCAACCCGCTCCATGGATATCGAATCGAGGATGGGCGCATATTTTGCCAGTGTTCATTTTTCCCTGAATTGCAACAGAGCGCATCCAATGGCGGCTGCTAATAAATTTCCCTCTCTCCTGCTGCTGCTAATAAATTTCCCTCTCTCCTGCTGCTGTTGTTTGTGTCTTGGATTTTGGCTTAGACATGGACCCGCCAGGGGGAGCCGCAGTGGCTGTGGAGCGTAACCGGCAGTAGCAACAGCAATGCAGTTCGACTGCAACCGGCTTTGGCTTTGGCTTTGGCACTCAGTCTGGGACTTGGCTTTGACTCCGAGTCTGTGCTTTAAGGCGGTTAGATCAGAGTCGACTTAGACCTTGATTAAGGTCATTCGCTTTGCAAGAAAACCTTCCACAGGCTGCCACCACGTACACTCGCAGAAAAGGAACATTTTAGGAAATATCTCCAGGATTCTTATGCCTTAGACACATGCAAAATGCTAAAATCAAAGCGCAGAAAAGGCCACCAAAGGCCAAAGCTATAGAAAATAAATTTTTCAGTGAAATTTCACTACAAAACAACTTCAGTTGAAGTCTCAAGTGAAGTCAAAGTTGTGCTTGGTCTTGGGTCTCTGTCTTGGCACTTGTCTGCTCATTCGTCTTGCTGTTAATTGCAGCTCATGCATTTCAGCTGCCAGAGAGCCATGAAGGCTGGAGCAGCCACACACATTTCTTTTCACAAGTTCTTTTCAACACTCCAGAGGAGAGTCGGCTTGCTGCTGCTCCAACTGCCTGTCAAGTGTTGAGTTCAGTCTGAGAAGTTCCTCTATTTGCTTTGCTAATGAAATATCTTCTACACATTATTTTTTGTGGCTGCAACTTTCCTTTGTGGCTCACAATTTTGTTGTTGTTGTTTATGAGCTCAAACACAACGAAAGTTTGTGGCCAGAATGTGGATGTTGCCCCGCAGCAAATCAATTAGCACTAAATCAAATTTTTAATGCCACAAACTGGACAACGCCCTCAGAGAAGATTGGAACACAGATCAGGGTTTGAGACTGGCTGGGGAGACGCTCTTGAGGCTCATAAAAGAAATCTTTGGCTGTATTTATGAGCAAGAAACGACTGAGCATAAAAGCTACAAACATACACAGCTCGGGCTTAGATTCGTTCAGAGATATATTGTCTGAGTTTGCTTTGTGAAAAGAGCTGAGGAATATTTCCTGTTTGTTACTGTTTGAGAAATGTGAATGTGAAATGTTATGCGAGGTTTAGTTCAGGCTTGACCAAGGAGAGGCCATAAATGTAAAGATTAATCTGTCGAATTCAGAGACAAAAGTGTCGAGGCTTTGTTTAAGCTGAAGTCTGCCTTTTCATACATTTTCCATGAGGTTTTAAGCTTCACAAATATGAAAACTTATGCCGGCATTATGTGCTCTTGGCTGCTGGCATTAGTTATTTATAATTATATAAATTTAAGCATTCATTTATGGTGAAAACATGACAAATTGTCAAAGGCAAGCCATCAAATGTTATTATTGCATAATCAAAGCCCCACTTCCACCTGTTGCTGTTGCTGCTCCTCCTCTCCTAGGGCTGCCATGTCGTATGCGTAATGCGGTTGTGGCTGTGGCTGTGGCTGCCTGTACGTGTGCCAAATATTGTAGTACTTGTGCGCATTTCGTAAGCAATTATCCACGCCAGCTCCACATTTGGCCTCAGCTTGGATGTGTGTCGTTGGTGGCCTTTTTTGGTGCTCGAAGTGCTCGAAGTGCAGCGAAATAGAAAGTGATTTTGTGTCGTCAATTTGGCGGCGCTGAAAATTGCCAATTTACTTGAAGCAGCAGTTGGAGTAGAGGCTGAAGTTGTAGTCTGAAGCTTGAGCCAAACAAATTCGTGCAGCCAACTCCCTGTGCCACCTCCCAGTCCCCACTGCGACTTCCCTTTGCCTCTGCCTCTGCCTCTGCCTCTGCCTCTTGTCGTGGGCTGAAGTAGCGCCTCAAATTAGTGTGGGCAAGCGCCTGGAACTAATGACGTTGTTGCCTGCTGTCTGCCAGTACGATTATCTGTTGCCACAGTCTCTGAATTGTCATACAACCAAGGGTGCATTCAACCCGGCATATAGCCTCGAGAGCGAGCAACAATTGAAACAGTTTTACTTTCATTTGGTGGCTGGGGCAGCAGCCGTGAAAGTGCAATTGAATTTTTGTGATTTATTTCAAATGTGTTTGCTACACACAGCCACACAGCCACACAGCCAACCATGGGCAGGGTCCAGTTCCAGTTGCATGTCCAAGCCCATGTCCCAGCTCCACTTTTTCTGATATTTTCACAGCCTCCGGGCGGGCAATCCAGCCAGACTCACTTTCATCCGCACAATTCAATTTTGGCATCGATTAAAAGTGAAACAAAAAACTGCCAAGCGAGGAAAGTGAAAAGCTGAAAACTGTGTCTCTGGAGCGCATTTGTGAGCCAAAAGGAAGCGCTAATTGTATTAAAAGTAAATGAAAAACAACGTAGAAAGTGAAACAAAGTTATTTTTGTTCATATTTCAATCAGAGTTTTGATCCCGTTTGGGGCCGAGCGAGCGACAGGTGAAAGCGAGACCCAGACCCACAATTGGGTTAAGCTTCAATAAGTAAACGTGTTCCGGGGGTGTTCTACGGCGTGTTAAAGTGTGAATTATGAGCCCAGCAATGGGCACAGATTTGTGTACACATTTCAGGCCACAAACTGGTTGACGGCTTTAGGCGGAGATTTAAGAGCCAGACCAAAGATGGATGGGTCTGGTTCGAGTTCTTTTGTGGCCATAGAAATCTTTAGAAATCTTTTTGGGTGCCAAAGAGGTGTCAACTTGTTGAGCAAATAAGAGCTTTGATGGGAACTGCACGCTGCCGAAAGGCAGAACTTACACCAGGAAGAGCTCTACGACTGATCATAGGTGGCATTTCAAGTGAGTTTTGAGGCCTTAGGCTGCATCACTGCAGATTATTGGCTCGAATCTGGCGAATCTTTTGCTAGAGGAAGTGCTCAAGTGCCTGCCCCAATCGTGGCAATCGTTGCTTAAATATAGATTGTTGGCTTTGCTCATTAATCTGCCATAGCCAGAGGAGAATATGATGAAAATCAGCGGCAGAAGCAGCCACAGGCAACAGCAGCAACTCGATGCTACATGCAACTACAACTAAAACTAGCAACTACAACGACAAACGAATGTCTTGGCATCTTTTCAACGCTTGACGTAGCAATTTGTGAAATTCTTGCCAGCTCAAAGTGCAGATCTCTCAGTGAGTTGGAGCTGCGAGCTGCGAGCTGCAAACTTCATCATGGAATGGGCCTTCATTTCAATTGTGACAGATGTGCAGGCAGGCAGGCAGCGAGCTCCAAGCCCACAATTTTGAAGGCAAAACCAAATGAATTACACATGAAAAGAGAGTGAAACGAATAGGCCCCAAGGCAGCGCAGGGGGAGGACACACTTGACATGGAAACCAAATGATGCCTGCAGATGGAAACTGATCTTGCAACGAGCCTTGCCTTGGGGCTCTGCAAACGCAAATGAAACTCGTTGACAATGACAAAGCGAAGACGTGTGAAAAGTGAAACCAGCAGTGGGAACAAAAGGCAACAAAGCAAAAGAACTTTTCCCTAACGATTTGTTCCTTCTCTTTCTTTGCAGTGGCGCAACACGAACGCATCTCCCAAATCTCACCCAAGTCGAGCAGTCAGCGGAATGATCGCCTGAGCATTGAGAGCACCATTGCGGACTCCATCAATGGCTTGGCGGAGAGCCAGTCCACGCTGCAGCAGGACCAGGAGCCGGACAATGAGAACGAGACGCGTGCGGAGCGTGTGGAGCGTTCGGCGTCGCCCATTCTGCACGAGCAGCACAACCAGCAGCAGCTGGGGCAGGCAGGCAAGGCCTACCTGGGACCCAACGATGTGAACTACCGCGAGGGTCAGCAGAAGGATGTGTCCGCGGGCAGATATTTCCACTACAACATCAAGCCCACGGGCACGTACGACAGCCAGGAGGAGCAGCCCGAGCAGACGCAGCGAATCAGAGCGGGAAAGACTTTAGCGGGGAGCAGCCAGGGGAGCAGCAGCAGCAGCAGCAGCAGCAGCAGCAGCTTGGAGCAGTCTTTTTTAGGGGCGGGGGACCTGCGACCGCTTACGTCGGGGTCCCCGCCCATCAGGCCGAGTCCGAGCAGTACTGCCATCTCGGGCACGGCGAGCAGTGCCACCCAGGCGCCGCATAGTCCCCGACAGAACGGCAATCCGGACATCCAGGACATCATCACGGGCATCGTGAAGCTGCTCAACGGCAACGTCAATGTCCATGCCAACACGCAGGGCGTCGTCCGTCGCCCCTCGGCCAGCAGGATCAACAACCGTGGACCGCCGCGCATCTCGGATACGCAGAATCTGCCGCCCATCGACTACGAGGCACAGAAGCCGGGCACCTCGATGCGTCCGCCGCCCTACCCCTTCGACCGACCGGAGCGTCCCTTCATCACGGGCGTGCCCATACCCGAGCAGATTGTGCCGCTGCGGCCGGGCTTTGTCAGCAATCGGCCGCCCTGGTACCGCAACAAGCCACGGCCGCCGATCACGACGAGCGTGGGTGGCAGTCGCCGCCCGTTGCCGCAGTACAAGCCGCTGCCAGCGCCGCAGGTTGTGCCACAGCAGCAGGAGCAGCCACAGTCTCCTGCGTTGCAGCAGCCGCTGGAGGACGCTGTGCTGCCCACGGACACCACCTACGACTCGGAGTTCTCCAACGAGGATGCCAATGCGCAGTACATTGAGGTCTCCGATCAGGAAACAGATGCCACTGGGGGTGGCGGAGAGGTCGAAGATGAGCTGCTGCAGCCGCCGCCTTCTACGCCCACCAATCCACCTTCGACCACGCCCACAGCGCCCAAGAAGAAGCACAAGCCAAAGCCAGAGAAGAAAAAGCAGGAGCAGCCACTCGAAGGTCTCTACACCACCATCGTGGAGACCAGCTCCGTGGTGCACACCGTCATGGGTGGCATGCCCGCCAGCTCCTCCACGTACGTGCCCATGCCCATGGACAGCTCCGAGGGCCTGGACTTGGATCCCTCCACAGAGGAGGTCATCTTTATGACGGCCAATCGCACGCCCGGACTGGAGACGAGTCCCAGCAGCACGACGGCCACACCGTTGCTCGCCATTGAAACTTCCAGCATAACGACCACCAGCAGCACCTCCACCACGAGTTCCACCTCCACCACTTCCACCACTTCCACCACGTCCACCTCCACCTCCACCACAACCGAACAGCCGCCCAGTTCCAGTCCCAGTTCTACTACCAGTTCCACTGCTAACACAAATGCCACACCGCCTGCCATTCCCTACCATCCCCGACCCGGCATTGTGCTGGATGATCCCGAATTCAAGCCCGGCGGCAGGCCACGCCCCGCTGCCGCTGCCGTGCAGCCCAAGCCGCCCATTCAGCCCACACGACAGCAGCTGCCGCCTGGCTATGGCGAGATCTTCGACGTGACACTGTCGGCCATTCAGGGCCCGGGGCCCAAGGGCAGCGGCTCCAAGCAGACAATCAACATTAAGCCGTACGGAGGGTACGCAGCGGGACAGGGACAGGGACAGGGACAGGGACTGCGGCAGGATGACATCATTGTGTCGGCAGCAGGTGACGATGGCTTCGTCTCGATCGATGGCAAGCGCACTTACATCAATCTCTTTGGTGATCCCACAGATGCGCCGGCGGGCAGCGGCACAACACCAGCGACACGTCTGCCACAGCTGCCAGGCGCAAGTCCGGGAGTGGCTGCCTCGTCTCCACCCGCGAATGCCGTCACTCAGAGCAGCGGTGGCTATGTGGTGCCCGAAACGGAAGTGGTGGATCTGCAGGGACAAAGTCAGTCCACGGGAACTGCTGGTGCCGGTGCAGCCACAACAAATGCGGGACCCACGCGGCCACACTATCGCCAGCGTCCGACGCCGCCGCCTGTGCGGATTGACACGTGCATCGTGGGCGATGATTCGACGTGTGATCAGGCGCAGCACGAGCGCTGCAAGACGGACAGCGGCGTGTCCAGTTGTCACTGCAGGCCAGGTCGGGATTGAAACCCATTCAACGATGATAATTACTGACATTTCTCCCTGTTTCTATCCCACAGGCTACTCCCGTCGCAAGCATCGTGAGCCGTGTCGTCGCGTCATCTCCTTCCATTTGGGCCTGCGCGTGGATCGCATTTACGAGCATCGCATTGTGTGGGATCACAAGCTGATGGATCGCCACAGCGAGCCCTTCGGGCAGCTCAGCTATGAGTCCATAAGAGCGGTAAGCAGGAGGCGCAGCGAGAGCCACAAATAAGTCTAATTCAATGCCCTTTTCGCAGCTCGACTCTGCCATGTCTATGACGCCCTATTCGGATGAGTTTATGGAGGCCAAGGTGAACAATATTTATCGCGGGGATCCCAATTTGGGTGGCAATGGCGTCTACGTGAATATGACCCTAAAGGTGAGCGGAATGTCGCAACGTTTCCCCAACCAAACGACTCATTTTTTTGCCTTCCAGCTGGACGAGAGCGTGGAGACTTTGCGCCCGAATCTACGCAGCGATGTGCAGAAGCATCTGCTGGGCGTGCTGCATCGAAGGAACAACAACATTGGCAACTCCGTGCTCTATGTGAGCTCGCCCGAGGGCGCTGTCTCGCCGCTGCAGGATCTGGATGAGTGCCAGTCGGCGGAGCTGAATGACTGCCATCCGGGCGCCACTTGCAGCAACACTTGGGGCAGCTTCCGGTGTGCCTGCGAGGCGGGCTTGCGCGACCCTTGGGCCGATCAGCCGCAGCGTGCGGGCCGCGAGTGTCAGGCGTGTCTGGACTCGTACTGCAACAACCACGGCAGCTGCAGCTACAACGACGAGGGCAGCCAGCTGTGCACCTGCGACTCGAGCCACTACGGCGCACAGTGCGAGATCGATGGCGAGGTGCTGGGCGTGGCCATAGGCGCCTCCGTGGCGGCCATTATCATCATTGTCCTCACACTCGTTTGCCTCATCATGTGGTCCCGTCGCTGGCAGCGCGAGCAAAAGAACGCCATGGGTTCGCCCGTCTTTGGGTACATGAACACGGCGCCCTTGAAGTCTGCCGCGGGACTGCCGCAGGCGGGCTACCAAGTGACGCTGGAGGATCGCATGCGCTGGGCACAGATAGCGGATGTTATGGCCCAAACGAATCACTACGGGGTGAGCTGGGAGTTGCCCTAAAAGCCGCGTTCCTTTTGCTAATTTGTTTTGCTTTGCAGGCGGAACCCATTGGACCCACGCGTCCCTCCTCGGCCATGTTTGCTTACCCCAACCTGGGGGCCATGGGCATGGGCATGGGCACGCTGGGCGGCATGTCGATGCAGAGCACCATGCAAATGCATCCGAGCGCCAGTCTGGCACCGCCAGTGCCATTACCCAGGTAGGAGCACAAACCCTCTCCTGTTGTATTTTCTCAACCTCTTTTGCACTTAGAAGACTTGGCCTGGGTCCACGCTCGAATGGCATGCGCACCCTGGAGAACAGCAGCTCCAGCGAGGAGGAGGATCGCGCGGACTTGCTGGGACGCAACTTTCAAGTGCCACGCCCCAAGAGTCGCAGCAATGGCAGCATAGCGGTGGGTGCACGCAGCTTTAAACTTCCTTTAGCTGCTGCAACTTGTATTTCTCTTTCTGTAGAACCAATCTGGCATCTATTACGATGTTGACTATGAGCCATCGGGCAATGGCATTGGCAACAGCAGCGTGGATCATCTGTACGGCTCGCAGAACCCATCCGTGACGCATTCGTCGGGGAACAATCACATGCCCGGGCCACAGGGCATACCCATGAGCACCTACACCTCCGGGCGGGCGCCCAGCAGCTACTACATGAAGTGACCCCACGCAGCACCCGCCACCCGTTGGGACTGGATCAGAGCACAGCCCAACCAGCCCAACCGGCCCAGTTAACCCTGTACATAGGCAGCACCTCAACACCCTTAATGTAGGATTATAGCCAGTAAATTCCAGCCTAAAATGAATTTCCACTGCAAGTCCCCGCGGCGACTGCAGCTGAGATGCGATTTTGTGTCCTGCCCCCCCTTAGCATGAGAAGCGTAGACTTAGACTCGATTTAGCACAACAACTAATCATTAATTGTAAACTTTAAAGTTTAAACCTTAAACTAAAACTAAACTTAAGTTATTGAAGTTGCAGTCAAAAACGCATGAAATTAGCCTTAGTTTGTAGCTGTATTTAGTTTGTGTGCATGTAAATAAATGAATAAAAGATTTAGGTGTTAAATTAAACTCGAATTTGTTGTTAAAAGTTTAAGAAACAGCGCTAAAATCGCTGCTAAAGTGCATGACATTTTCAGGCGTTCAAATTGTGCCGCCCAGTGCTGCTCAAACTGTAACTCATAGTTGCAGCTCGCTTTAACATGTGCTTTGTGGCGGCCGCAGCTGCAGTTTGCTATGTGGCTCGCTCTAACGCATGCTTTATGCTGGGTAAAACTGCTGTTAGCTGTGCGAGCGGGACAACTGGTGAGCTGTAGCCAGTGCTGTTAAGTGCTGTTTGTACACGGCAGCAATGGGCGCGCATTTTCAAAATAAAGGCAGGGATTTCCTAGGAAAATTTGTTTGCACGCATAAAAATAGTTTTAGCGGCTAATTTTAATAAATAAAATGCATAAAAAAGTGTGAAAATACTTGGATCAGCTTCAGCTGTGCTTATTTATAGTTTCTGCTTTGTTAATAATCGAGGAAAAGTCACAAATCCGCTGATGATTTATGAAATTTCAACTCTCACGTCCGGAAAAGAAAACGAGAGCCACTCCAATTTATGGCAGTCTTGGGGCTGCTCTCTCAGGTTTGGTTCACACGCATAAATACACTTGCGTTGATGGCCGCGGCGGCAAGAATGATGGCGAAGAAAATGAAAATTATTTCATGCGTGTGGCAGGCACCGCGAGGGCTCTTGCGCAACCCCAAAGATGATGCGTTGAAAGGTGTAGCCCCCCCTCCCGGAATGCCCATAAACAATAGACAGACATGCTTGAGGCAGAGAGAGGGGGGAGAGATATGATTTTGACAAGTCAACAACTGAGCTTAGCAGATCATCATCAATAAATTCCGTGGCCATTAGCAGCGGAACGAACACACCAGCTGTCGAAGTTCAATGCCAGGTCCGAGACTTATTAATTAATCAATGGCTGGATGTGGATGTGTGGAAGTGTTAAAGGTCGCCGCGGAGCCCCTCACTTGTGGCTCACCCTTTGAATGCCGCTAATGGCGCTGATTTAGTAATTATCTTAAGCGCTGTGACTAGTAGCTGCGACACCGCTGCTCCGTTTAATTGAAATTAATTTGGAAATTGTAATTTCGACTTTTGATTTTCATTCCATTTGCAGCTGATTTGACTGACCCATTTTTGGGAGCTCTTTTTGCACATTTATTTATAACATTTTTTCGCTGGGTTTTATTTGCAATGACGCTGCAATCCATGCCAATCGAATCACGTATGTCGATGGGTGTTCCGAAATTCCATTAGCTGCGATTTGTGTGCATCGATTTGAGCTCGTTATTGGCTGAAATGATGTCACTAGTTAGCCCTCCGCTTCAGCTGCTTGTAAAGTTCCTCAGTCTTGCGGCAAGGGCAGGCATTACTGCTGCCAGTGTGCAACAAAGTGGCACCAAAGCCACAGCCATAAACACAATTCGCACAGCACGGAGGCAGGCAGAGCTGCTGGCTGCTGGCTGCTGGCTGCTTGCAGCTTTTTGGTGTTCCAGTTAGCCACATTGTTGCGTCTTCGACAAACGGCAATGACAATGCCAAAGTGTGTCGTCAGCGCCTCCATGTGACGTGTGGCTGCTTGTCGTTTGTCATAATTGGGCGCGCGTGGTGGATGCGCTTCCAACTTCCTTGTTGGCATTGTTGCCGCATGTCAGCACCAACAAAAGCTATCTTTAGAAAATCTACAAAAAACGGCTGACAAAGCGTAAAAGATTGACAAACGGCTGTGGAATTTTGGTGGCGGATAAAGAATAATTGTAGTACTTTTCAAATGGCAATTTTTGCCATTGGAGCTGGGAATATTTGTGAATATTAGAAACCAATAATGGCTTATGGGTTTTCCTTAAGGTTTTCGGCGTCATAATTGGACCTTATAATGTGCCACAAATGATACAATTTTGAATGCACTTTACACAAGGCAAAAATTGAATTGTAGGCTGGAAAGAGTAGCTCTCCTGCTCATACTTAGGTTTCCCATTCGACAGCCAAAAGTATTTTTAAAAAATTAAAGCAAATTTGTACGCCGCAGCTGCAGCTCGAATATGAAGAGACGAATGATGAATATGCCCGTAAATTGTACCAACTCTCCAGAATTTATGTTACGTGCTGTTAGAATGAATATTCCCGAAGTTACAGCAACTCAAACTAGAAGTTTTCCATCAACTTAAATGTTTCTACAACTCGTTTAAGCCGATTCACATGCCTGAAGCTAGTGGAAGTTGGGAAGTTGCCACAAAAATTAAATCAACTCTCTCACATGTCATTACATAAAGCAGAAGCAGTGGCAGTGGCAGTGGCAGATGTGGCAGCTGTGGCAGTGGGAAAGTGAGCTAATTGGTGCTGCTGGAAAACTGGGCAGCAAGTGAATGTGGCGCTGAAAGAGTTATACAGACCCACTGGCAAGCGAAACGTTGGTGCCACTTGCAGGCGGAACTCGTGACAAGCTTCAAGTGCAGCCAGCCACTGGGAGGCCACTGCAATAAACACCCATAAAAAACAAGAGTTTAATGAATTTGCGTATTAATGAGCAAAAAGGCAACCAAGAGACATTCGCACGCATGCCAATGACTCAATTTTTGTTGTGCTAGCTGGCCACTTGGACACTGTCTTCCCTAACGCCCACCTGCGCTGGCAACACGTCGCTTAAGAGTCGCAGAGAGAGAGTGCGGCTGATGATGATGTTCATGAAGCACGGTGAAAGGGGATCTCACGTAATGCGGTTGCATCTTCTTTTGAGCCCAGGCCAGCAACTCGTATCGATGGGGCTGGTCCGATTGCGCAACATCTAATTGTGTGGCAGGAAGCAGCCGAAGTTCCGCTGTGGCAAGTGGCAAGTGGCAAGTGGCAAGCGGGTGGTTGCCCAATCTGTTGGCCAGCTGGCAAGTCTGCCAGTCCCCTCCCCCATGATATGACGTTTAATTAGCCATATTTGTCAAAGTGCTATAATAAACTGCGCGGACAGGTCCAGCTGGCTGGTGTCATCATCCACGAGCAGCTTAGGTACACTGCAGCAAAAAGGGGGCGAACAGTGCCTGAAAGTGCCTGCAAGTTCTGGGCAAGCAAACACAGAAGGAACGCCCTCGCTTTCCGCTCGCCTTGCTGCCTGCAGACTTACTTTCTTCGACTTTTTAGCTATATTTGCCGCTGTGTAGCAATGAGGAAATCAAATTTTGCAGCGGGTGCAGCTGCAACATTTTGGGGGGGAACTTTTGGCGTCTACGGCTACGCAAATTGGAATGCGAGACCTCTGACTGTGTGGCTGGCTGGCTGTGGCTTAGCTTCAGACGAGATACTCGTCTTGCGTAATGACCAACTGAGCCACTGAGCCACTGAGCCGGTTTCAGCACAGATCCAGTATGCTGCTGGCAACTGTAACTCTCTGCCACTCTGCTCAAAGGACGACTGCTGCTTCGCAGCTTCTTGCCTTTAATGTTCATTGCAACAGACTTTTGCTTTGGCTTTTGCTTTGTTAATAAACTTTAATACCATTTACCATTTACCCAGAGCCGTAGCCATGTCGGAACGACCTTGGCTGGCAGACTGCGAGACTGCGAGACTGCCTTCTGCCTCTGCGCACATCTTTGGCTGGAGCTCGAGCTGCCACCTGCTGCTTAATCCGCTGATCCGCTGGACACGCACTTTCAACTGCAATTAATTTACCTGAGCATTGCATTTAAGCTGACTAAACGCACCCACCGGTGCCAATTGGCTGGCTTGCCTGCTTCGCTGAGTGATGCAACTGCAAATGAAATCAATTTACGCTGCCGAACCGGAGGCTGCAATTAGCCATTGGTTCATTTACCATGGATGTGGGTCAACATCATCGCCACGCAGCTGAAGCTGGAGCTGGAGCTGTTGCTGATGCCGTGGCAACAATGACATTAACGTCAACACTTGAGGTGCGGGCACCTGCTTGAGACCACGTAACGAATTGGGGCAGCGCCAAGTGGCAAAACTGAAGAAAGAAAGCCAAAAGCAATTACAAGCGCAATCTGTCGATGAGGCCGAGGATGATGACGTTGCAGACTTGTGCCGTGGAGGCCATTACTCCTCTCCATTTCATTTGGATTAGGCCTAAGACGAAGCCAGGGGAGAGAGCGATAGAGAGCTGTTGCCTGATTGAAGGTTAAGCGTGTTGCCTTTATGGCTTATTGTTCGCGCGAGCTAAGTGGCAGATATTTCTAGTTGCAACAGCGCTGCCGCCGCTGCAGCTATGGGGCGCGTTTTTCACTTGAATGTCAAGAAAATGCCAACGAAAAATGGATTAAAATATGGCATGCATCCACGGTTTGGATTCCCAAACGAACCTTTCTCTTAAGCCAATCCGTTAATGCCTTTGCTTTCATCCGTGAGCCATTTTCCAGGCAATTGAACACGCTTCCTGTCCTAGCCATGAATGGTTAAGTGAGGCCAGAAACCTGTCTGTCTGGCAGGCACGACAAGGTACTACATAACCTACATATACATATATTTATATGTAAACGATAAACGTTCAGATCAATAAAGAGATGCCGTAAATTATGCAACTGGGCGAACCAGGGACGACAGCAGCGAAAGGTGTTTCCAGTGGGTCTCCTGCAGCCAGCCAGCCAGCCAGCCAGCCATCCTCCACAACATCTTCGACTAAACTCGATCTGCCAGTCGCCCAATACGCTGGGCACGTTTCAGGAATTTCAATTTCATTTTTGCACAAACAAAAAGAAGCACAAAGAGAGCCACAGACGAAGCAGCAGAAAAAGTTGGAACTGGGAGTCGCAGTCGCAGTCGAAGTCGCAGTCGAAGTCGCAGTCCCAGTCGTAGAGCCTGTTGCACATTCTTCATTATTCGCATATGTATTGCTGGTTGTTGTTTTTTCTTTACCTAATTTCGAGTTTTTGTTTTTGGTTTTTATAAATTGGTTTAACATGTCGCTGTGTCTTCGGTTTGTTGCTTTCCTTTTGCAGTTTGCCGTTCCTGCATTGAAGGCCGTTCGCCTGGCAACTGCCAATTCGAGCGTCGTCTGCCTCCGGCTCCTCCTTCGGGCTGTGATGTAACTTCTGGTCTCTGGTGTGGTCTCGCCTGTCGCATTCGATTTGTGCATATTATTTACGACGCATTCGGAACGTATCAAAGGGTCAGAGCTTTAGCCTCTGCCGAACTGCTTGCTGTGAGTCCGTTTCTCGAGTGTTAATTGCAGTTCAAAACAGTTGCTCTTTCGGTGCTTTTGGCGCATTTATCAAAACCTAATGTCCAAAAACTATTTAGGTGTTCATAAAATGCCAGCCTTATTACCATGCTAAAATGTACATTTGGCCCCCCGGTAGCCACTGAAGCGTACCATCGGACGGCGACGGCGTCGGCGTTGGTGGTGGTGGTTTACTTCTTCATGCTATGTCGTCCCGTCCCGTCCCTTCCCGTTCCGTTCCCACCTGTTTCGTTCCATTCGCGGAGGTCGCTATGCCATTTGAGCAGTTAGGGTCGTCCCGTCCATAAATGGACTTTTGTTGTTGTACTTAGTCGTGTGTTAGCTTGGCCAAATGGCGGCGTCTTTTCTTGCTTATTTCGATCATTTTGCAACTGAACTGTGCTAATTGTTTGTCTCTCAGAGTCGCACATGGTTAATCGTGCCATATAAAATGCGAGCACGTAGCGGCTCCAATTTGTTATAGCTTAGCGGTACTTAGCTGGTGGGCACGGGGCAAACGCCCACACCAATTGACCTTATCGATGTAGCCGGAGGAGGTGAACCACTCTCTGCACAGTGCGAAATGATTGATTCGTGAAGATTTACCATTTTTGTGGATTTAATTTGTTCATAATAATGAAGGTTGATTAATGAACACAAAACGAATATGAACTCAGACTTAGTCTGCGATTTGTATTATTTCCCCTGAACCATCAGCCATGAACCATCCATGTGCTGAATTATGCAACTGTTCTTTGTGTCTCTTCTTTTCTCCCTGTGTAGCAGTGTCCGAGTACTCGCACAACTCATCGCTGCCAACAACACAATTACGAGTATTCGTATGTCAAATTCTAACTGTGGATCAACGCCGGACTTTGACTTCGGCTGCGACTGCGACTCCAAAGACAGCGCATACATACATACAAGTTTGTGTACATACTTGAGTCCAAGAGCAGACCATTGTTTTTGGATGATGGTGCGACTGCGACCTGGGCTGAAGCTGCGACCGAGGCTCTCCGCATTACCTTGGGAAAATCCGCGCAGTCATCGACGGAGGGGTCCAAGACCAAATCCGAATTCGAATTCATCAGCTGAAGAGCAGCACCAGCGGCAGAGCCGAGCTTGCAGGCGGTTCACTCTCCCTCTCTTGCGGTTTTCGCTTTTGCTTTCGGTGGTAGTTGCGTGCATTTTGCACAGAAGAGCACACAGTGGAGAGAAGAGAGAGAGAGCGCGAGGCGATCCGAGCTTTGCTTTGGTTACAGTTTGGGTTGTGTTTTGTTTTGTCAAATTGTTGTTGTAGCTTTGGGCTGTTGCTGCTGTTGCTGTTGCTTCTGCTGCTGCTGCTGCCGACGCTGCCGCTGGAGTTGGAGTCTCCGGAGACCGACCGAGACGAGAGCCATTCAAAATATAAATAGATGTGCATGTAGGGAAATGCGAATATTGTTCATAGAAGACCTCAACGGAGGCACACACCAAGCTCCCTTTTGTTTTGACGCGCTGTTGGTGGTACAGGGATACCAAGCATGAGATCCCTCAGTTTGTTGGTTAGTGTTTCCATTCAGTGATCGGCCCGATAAAGCCATAAAATCCCCCAGTGAATCCTTGATAAACGTGAAATCAAAAACTGCATGCAAAATTCTACAAGTGAAGTGACAAAATGAGTGCTAAAATATACAAATAAACAAAAGCTTATAAATAAAAGTGAAAAAGTGAACTCTGTACGCATAAGAAACATGAAGTAACTGTTCTTTGCCTTCCCTTTTGCCTTACCCCCGCAGCTACTCGGCGCCAGCTGCGCGCTTGTCATAAGCTTTGCCTACGCCCATCCACCCGAGGGCGTGTGGAAGAAGAAGCTCACCTGGAAGGAGGACTGGGTGCAGGTATGGAAGACCGTCAAGAAGGAGGCATGGGAGACCAAGTGGAAGAAGGTATCCGTGCCCATATGGAAGGAAGTCAAGGTGCCCGTCTGGAAGGAGGAGAAGGTGCCCGACTGGAAGATCATAAAGAAACCGAAGCTGGAGGAGCGCGAAGTGCCCGCCTGGAAGGAGGTCAAGGTGGCCGAATGGAAGAAGATCACAAAGCCCATTTGGGTGCCCACCAAGGTCGCCGTGTGGAAGGAGATCCAAGTGCCAGTCTGGAAGGAGGTGCAAGTGCCCTTCTGGAAGGAGATCCAAGTGCCCGTTTGGAAGGAAGTACAGGTGGCAGACTGGAAGCAAATGTTCGAGCCTCAATGGGTAAGTTTTTAGCGTTCCATTTTCCGATTTTCATCGGACTCAGCACTAACCTGAACCTCTGGTGCAGGTGAAAATGGGTATTCCCGGTGAAAAGTTCCTGGGCAAGGATCACGAGGGCTGGGAGTACACCAGCCACGATCTGTGGCGCAAGAAGCTCGTGTGGAAGCCCGTGTGGAAGAAGGTCTGGCGCACCGAGAAGAAGCAAGAGTGGCGCACCGAGAAGAAGGAGGAATGGCGCACCGAAAAGAAACAGGAATGGAAAACCGAGAAGGTGCAGGAATGGAAGCAGGACAAGAAGCTGGAATGGAAGGATGAATGGATTCAGGTTGGTCATCCCCCCTCACTCTCTATTAAATTGACTTCTCATTGACATTTTCCTTCTGTGCAGGTGTGGAAGACTGTAAAGAAACAAATCTGGATCAAGGAGAAGCGCGAGACTTGGGTCGAGGAGAAGGTGCAGATCTGGCGCACCGAGAAGCGCCAGGTGTGGGCCACCGAGAAGCGGCAGGCGTGGAAGGATGAATGGCAATCGGTGAATGTGCCCGTCCACAAGGAGGTCAAAGTGCAAGAGTGGAAAAAGGTGTGGAAGCCCGTCTGGGAGAAGGTCTGGGTGCCCGCACCCCATGGTCACGGCTGGGACTGAGACCGTTCGCAGGCTATGCGACAGCACTGATATCTGTTAACTGATCCACTCTTTGTTCATCCCAATCCATTGAACCATCCATTGTCCCTTCCTACCGCCAGGAAACACCTTTGTGTAGAAGCGATATTGTTGTTAAAATTTGTTAAATAGATTTAAACTCCACTCCACTCGCCAGCTGCCTGTTTCATGTTTCATCTTCATCATGTTGTATAAAACATTTCATTATTTCCATTCTTCAGTATTCTTTCTGTCTTCTCTCTCGCTCTGTCCATCTATTCTTATCTTATTCTCAAGTGTACAAATTAGTCATGCGCGCGATTTTGTCTTTAAGTTATACAAAATAAAATCACAAAATTCAATAAAACAACGAATAAATCTACGAATTTTGATCATTTCTCTGCCAGTACTACGAATATGTATATGTACATACATAACTACATAACTACATACATACATCTACATACGTACGTGTGAAATCTCTAAAAAAAACTGCACAAAAAGATTGCCTTGTAAATATGTACTTAAACATAATTATAATCCACTTTATAAGTCCACACACACACACACAACGAGAAAAGCAGAAAAACATTTCATGTAAAGTTGAAAATTAATAAAACCAACAACAAAAAATAATAAACTATAAAAATTAAATGCTTTTAATTACGGTTTTAAGCGTAAATTACAAACTTAACGCATCCTCAGGCATATTTCAATTCAGAGCTGGCTCTTCCCATGGCCAGCGGCTGCGGATGATGCAATTTTCGTGGCTTCGTGGCAGAAGATGCAACTCATAAAAGTTTCAATTGCTGTCCCGCGATATGCGGAAGTTAGATAAGAGCACAGTCCTCATTGTCGGGGATCGTGTATCGGGGTTCAATTGGCAAAAAGGTCTCGAGCTGAAGATGAGGAGAGGCCATGAGCCAAAGTCAACAACTGCTGGGACTGTCAATGCTGATGATCATTATAATGTTGATGATGTTGCCTGTTGGCATTTGCCGCTTTTGCTAGATGCCAAATAAATCTCAAGGAAGCATCTCCCCAGCAGATAAGCAGCAACAAACAATACCGTTTGCCACTTCCTGTTGCCAAGTTGAAGTTGAAGTTGCAGCTGGCAGACAGACAGACAGACAGAGCAGCCTATGGTGGTGCTGGCTGGTGTCTTACCATTCCAAGTCAGTCGGTCGCGTCGCCTGTTTGGTTGCAACATGTTGCTTTAATTGACTTGCCACCCGCCCTGCCTCCCTCTATATATGTATGTGCTCTGGCTCTGCCTGTCCCTGGTTTCCACTGTGTCTGTGTGCCAGCAGCAGCGTCGAAAACCCCACATAAGGTTAGCCGAGGAAGCCAACTGTTGCAGTTGCAGCTTGCAGCTTGCAATTCGAGTCCCAAATGCGGTGCTGGCGCTGATTAGGTAACCGCCGCCAAAAAGTTCGAGTTCAAGCAAACATTCCATTGGGAAATGTTTGTGGCGGTAGTTGGCGAGTTGCCGACTTGCCGACTTGCCGACTGGCCCCCACCTTATCTTAATGATGTTGCCGAATCTTTTGCTTGGCAAATCAACATTTGATGTGGCAGACAAACGAGCATTTGGCGGAGGGCGTGTCCGAAAGGAAAGGGAACTGCAAAGATGAGCAAAGATTAGGCCCGAAATAGCTTCAGTAATTAGTGCTCACTGGCAGGCATTTCCTTAATGCTGCTCCCCAAAATATCCATAAGCTGTCGAACAACTAGCCACTAATTTAGTCAAGGTCTATGTCAAAGGTTTCTAGCGATAAACAATGGAAACCCAATCGATTTCCATGACATTTTCAATGTGTCGCAAGTCCGAGTGTCGCGAGTCCAATCTTTTGTTTTCCCTCTTTGTGATTCAGCATTTTGTCACGTTTTCAATTTGTTATTAATGGGATCTCTCGTTTGGCTGTTGGTTTGATTTGCAATTGCTCGACATGGCTTATGGCTGGGATGCTCGACTGAGGCCTAAATTGCATTCCGTTTTTATATAACCAAAAGCCAGGCAAGTGTCATGCGAAACTGAGATTTAGCAGCGAACACTTAACGCATTTGAGTGAAGCACATAATTGTTGTTGTTTTAATTATTGAAGCGGCAGAGGCAACATCAAGCAACATCTGTGGCCATTGCACAAGCCACAAAAACCAAAACAAAACGTAGCCAGCCACACCACAAACCACACACCACATAAAAAGCGCAAAAGAAATTGAAAAAATGTAATAAAAATAAATTTTGATGAACAAAACAAAAAAACTGAGACAGCAACGAGCAAAATGCGAAGCGATAGAAATGTTTTATTGTAATAAATCTTTTGTTTCCAACCGGAGAGACACCCCAGATTTGAGCCAGGGGCTCAGCGTGTGGCGAAGCATTTGATACTCTAGGAAATTACAAGGTAGAAAGGCTAACCGAGAGAGTGCTGATGCTGATTCGTTGGCCAACAAAATAAATGTTTCTTTTATAACTATAAATAGAAAATGAAATATTACAAAAATAAATCCAATAGCGACTCAGGTTCAAGTTACAAACCGCAGCAGCCGCAGATTCGAGGAGAGCAGAGCACGTGACGCCTTTGCCGCCAGCGCCTGAGCCAGAGCCAGAGCCAGAGCCAGCGTTTGCCAAGCGTGAAACTGCAGCAACTGCGGCTGGTGCCTAGGATGACGTATGGGAGGTTATTGCACGCCTCGCAGGTGCTGTTGACTCTGGCATCGTGCGACATATTGTATGTGGGTCGAACGAAAGCGAATTGGGAGAACTGGAGCACAGCCTCTCCGCTCCCTGTTGTCACAGGCATGTGTGTTGCCCAAGTGTGGCAAGGTCGTACGTCAACTGTGGCTGATTGAAAAGAAAAGAAGCTGTGGAATGGCAGGGGAGCAGGAAATTAGCGGTGGGCCGTAAAGAGAATGCGAAATGAAGTAACTAACAAAGCAACTAACCAGCACAGACCAGGCCATGACGCTGCTGAAATGCCACTCGAAATGTGTTGCAAACGAGACGTTGCCCGGTACGCTACGGGGCGGGTACTTGCATCCCCCCATTCGAGCCGTTAAAGTTGATTAAAGCGCGGCACGGAGTGATGCGATTGCGTTGACAACAGGCGCGCGGTTTGCTCTTGTAGCTTCGTATCTGCGGATCTGTTTAGACGATATGTTACGGCTCTGGTCTGGGCCACGCTGGACAATCGGCACTTCCACACAAAAGACTCTGGCAACGAACTCGTTTGGCGGCTGTCAACAGTCGCAACTTTATTTTTATTTAACTTTTCGTTGACTGTCAAATATTTTGATTGCTGCATTTGGAATTTTATTAATTTATTGTGCTATTTTCGGAAATTTTACATTACTTTGTTTGAGTGATTTATGGCAGGAAAATGCTTTTATTATTTTATTAAACTTATTAAGCCATTAAACAGATTTGATGATTCTAATTATTAACTAAAAGTATAAAGGAAACTTTATACTCTCATCTTTTATTCCCAATTAATTTGTGATTCTATTCCCTGTTCTAATTTATTTCAGTTCTCTTTCAATTAATGAATTGTATTTGCTATTCATTTAATTACTCGCCTGAGCTTATGCAAATCTGATGCACAATTACCGTTGTGGCCTACTTGTTGCACCTGCTGCCACGCCTCTTCATAACAAAAACGAAAACAAAGCCTGGCCACGCTCCATCTCCAGCAGCAGCAGCAGCAGCAGCTCGGGCTTCTCTCTGGCTCTCCAGCTGGTTCCCCGCCATTCACTCATTCACATGCAAACGATTTGATTGTCAAACGTTGATTTTTTTGTTTTTATTATGTTTGTTCGCTCTTTTGTTTTATTTTCTCTCTCGCTCTTTCTCTGGCGGCAGATTTATTGCAATGCCTCAAGAAAATTGCAGTTTATGACTTCCTGCGGTGTTCTGCTGCCGATACGCTAAATGATCAATATTTGATGGGGGAGTGGGAGTGCGGCAGGGGAACTGGGCATGGGTATTTGTCATGTTTCCATCACCAGTTGCCAGCAGCTCGTCGTTTAGCGTCTAAACGTTTGACTAACTCATTCACCGTCCCACCCTCTCCACTCGGCTACACCCTCCACCAGCAGCCCCCTTGCGACTCCCATTTGCATGTTGTAATTTCTGTTATGCAGCAGCAGCAGCAGCAGCAGCGGCAGCGGCAGCATTGAAGACAATGCACAATTGTCGGCTGGGCATGGGATGGGGCGGTGCGGCTTGTCGATTGCGGGGCGTCAAACGCAATTGTTTGCGAATAGTTTTTCTTCTTTTTTTTTGTGTTTAACTACCGACCACACACACACACACACCCATACCCTTTAGCGGTGCTTGAATTGGCAGTCGTTTACTGTGAGGCGTCGCAGAAAAGTGCTCATAGCCGTATGGATTTATATTTAATGCTGCTCATTTGCAACTGCTCATTTTGTAATAATTAATTGTATTATGCAAGGCGCCTGGCCACTCAGAGAGTGCAAAATATAAATTACTTTTGATTGATTAGGCAACAGACGGATGCAAATGATGATTATGGCCACAATTGGGTAATATCTGAGGCATGATGGCAGATATTTGGACTTGGAGCGGACGGTGTCAGTGGGTAACCCGCTGGAATTGCCCCTCAGTCGGTCTACATTTGTACTCTGCAAAGCCAATATCTTAAGCCGATGGCTACATATGCATTTGTACAAAGATTACAAGATATGAGAACATTGAAAACAGCCGCCCAGCAGAATAGACTCGCAGATCAAACACACAATGCATATATCTGTACATACATACACATGCACTAGTGGGAGAGCATACAAACACGAAGAACATATGTACGTTTTTACGCTGCTTACTCTTCCCTCTCCAAGCACATGCCAAACCAAGAGCACATAACTTTCCCCTCCTCATCATTCACAGTTGCATTTCGCGTGTAAAAATTTCGCTCTCTTAAGGTACGAGAGGAAGAACAAAAAAGTCAATGAGACAGCAATTACGGAAGCTCATCAGAAAGAGAGCATGGAATGTTCTAGAAACTAAGCTTCCCACGCATGCATACTGCGCTGCTCTCACACTTTCAATATATTCTTCCTGCCTCTCCCACCACATGACAACCCAGGTGCACACCGCTTTCCCCTCCTCACCATTCACCGTTGCATTAACGCGTGTCGTTCATCAAAAGCACAAACGTTCGCTCTCTTGAGGTAGGAGAGGAGGAACACAAAAGTCAAAGTCAAAGTCAATGAGAGAGCAATTACAGAAACGCATCAGAAAGAGAATGTTCTATCACGCTATCACACTTTCAATTTTTCGGCCGGGAAAAACGCGTGGTTTTAAGTCAGCGCCGCGTCGCGGGTCGCGTGAATCGGGAAAAGGATGAAAAATCCAACGGGAAATTG